AAAAGCTCCCAATCTACGTTGGCAAATGCACGGTCGAGCTTGACAAGAGTCGGAGTCTGCTGCTCGTTGCTCCAAGTGTATTTCCTACCAATCAAGGGCAGCTCATGAAGGCTTGATCTGTTTAAGGTGTGGCGGAACTTGTTCATCCAACATCGACAAATGCGGTCGTTGTTCTTGTCGTTGGGGTCAGTTATAAGGTTGAAATCACCAACTACAAACCATGGCCCATTCATGGCGTTATGGATATCTGCTAACTCATTCAAGAAGGACTTCTTACGCTCATAGTCATGAGGACCGTAAATGGTGGTGAGAGTCCACGGCGTATTCTGCCCCACCGGAGTGAACACAGCCGTGATAGAAAAGGTGCGCACCGTGATCGCAGTCGTAGAAAAGCAGCTAGAGCGCCAGTAGAGGAGTATACCTCCGCGCGTACCATCAGCGGCCAGATAGGAGTGACAATCAAAAGCACTACCAGTAATCTCCAGAATATCACTATCGGCTACAGCAGCTAGTTTAGACTCTTGTAAACAGACTATAGAACAAGAAAGCTGATCCAACATGGCGCGAACTGCAGCCCTGCGCGCTTGGTTGTTCAGACCGCGCACATTCCAGCTAAGAATAGATAATTGGCTACTCATTAATAAACTTAGTGATCCACTGAATGAAGTCTAGGCACGACATGCCCAACGGAACCAGATACAAGAAGGGCCCAAGGACCCTCCTAGCAGCCAAACAGCGCCCCACAACACACAGCAAGGTGTTCAAATGACAACTAAACATGATAACTAAAGGTCTGCGAATTAAAGAGGCCACGCGCTCAAGCTGCGCGCCCAGCAAGCTCATCCAAGATGGCTTGCAGCTCAGCATCAGGCAGTGAAAGCTGAGAAGGCGAGGACAAGCCCGCGATCTCGGCCAGCTTGGCTACGTTAGCCGGTGGCATTGGGGCGCGGAAGAACTGAATGTACTCGAGCACGGTGTCGTCGTTGAAGTCCTCGGGACGCTTGATGAACCCAAGCCGGGTGCTAATCTCAACCTGAGCACGCCTTGAAGAAGATAAGTTGGAGCCAAGGTGTTGCAGGCGCGAGCTCTGACGAGAAGCTAAAACGACTCAGAGCAACCGCTGCTTCAGCTTGCGAGGTGGTGGAGAAGACAAGGCTGGAGGAGTGCCAAGGATGGAGGAGGACAGCAGAGCAGCTATTTTGTTAATGAACCGCCGCCGCTCATCAATATTCAATCTTGCAATCTCTTTTGTAATCGCAGAGATGAGACCAGGGCCAGAGAGATTGGCCTCCTTAAGCGCCCTCCGCGCACGCATTTCTTCAACAGAGCACTGGGCATGCTCCCTCTGTAATCCATGATCAGCAAAACCTCCCGTACTATCTGACCAAGGCGCCGACTCGCTCAGGCCAGGCCTGCTCCCAATACCAGCCACCCCAGGCCCAAAAATCACCTCCGATCCAACAGCCCAGCTGGGCTCTCTAACCGGCAGATACGCCTGGGCCTCAACCTAGTTTGGTAACCAGGAGGGGCCAAATGAGAAGGCAGCCGACTCCTAGATAGTCATCATCTGCGGTGTACACAGTCGTGGCGAGGTCGCGTCCGTCAGTTCCCAGCGGCTCAGAGATGGTGGCAGCGGAGGTAGTTCAAAGCTCGGGTAACTATGGTCAACATTAGTCACACCCATAGTGAAGTCCTTGGCTATAGGCACACTGCAATCCCACGGATACTGCAGCTGCTGCTGTCTGGGCGGCAAGAACAGAGGCATAAGCCCACCAGAGCCAGATCCCCATCCCATGAGGTCTCCAATCCAACCATCGGTTACAAGCTGGGAGTTCCCAAGCGCTCGTGCAGTCAGATCCTGAGGAGGCAGCATGGATGGTCCCTGGCTGTCTTGCATCAGCTGTTGGTCTAGCAAAGTGGCGACACTGCGCGCATCACTGAGCTCCTCGTCCGTGCTTTGCTGGTCGGCCTGTCTCATCGGGGCAAAGGTGGTGCTCTCTTGGACCTGGGACACCTCCAAGGAAGGGGAGACAAACACTCTTTCTTGGCCCACCAGCTGATGCTGCGCTGTCTCTAAAGCAGTAGGAGTGAGACCATTGTCAGTACCTCGCTCATGCTGTACCTGATCAGCAGCCATCTGCACCACAGGCACTTCGCTGGTTCCTTCATCCCGCCGGCGGTGCCGGCGAGGCGCCGGGGCGTACGCCGAAGTCTCCCTGCAGCCTGCCTGATCACGCACCCCCTGCCAAAAACTCCGGCGAACACCTCCTATCTTCCCCCGCTTCCTGAAGCCTCCTCCATTTCCATCATCGTGGCCATCATCATCTCGCCGGTCCGCACGAAACAAGCCAGCAGAAGGAGCAGCTCGGGGATGGCCCTCCCCATCCTTGACACCCATTCTCCACCCCTTGTGATTGTACGTGCGAGGCCACTCACACACTCCATTATCTGGGCTCGCCGAAGGAGACAGGGGAGTGTAATCCTTAACCACACCAAGGTGGATGAGCACCAGGAAGTCCGGCCCCTCCAAGCCCTCCTCCACCGGCACTCCTTCCGGCCTCGACTCTCTGGACCTGATCACATCTTGCCGCTGCAGCATGTTGAAATCAGACGCCCTTGGTATCATGTCCGGGTTCCATGTCCATACCCAAGCAAAGAGAGCAGATCTGTTCCTCTTGGTCTTGGACTGCCGCTCAATCAAATCAAGCCAGCAGTTCTTCCCAACCACTTCCTGGACGGTGTCCTAATCCCAAGCATTCAACGGCAAACGATCAATCACTACTCTGCAGTAGAACCTCCATACCTTGTTGCCGCCCACCGGCGGGAACCATGGCCGGAGCTGAAAACGGACCCCCGCCACCTCGATCACACGCCCTTCATAGACCAGGTCGCGCTGGACACGGTCAGCCAGGGTGATGATGTAGTCTTCAGGGAAGCACGGCGCGACGGAAATGTCCCGGAGGTCGAACCGATGCTCATGCGCCACCACACGAGCAATCATGTCCGGCGTGATGGCCGAGCGGTCACCCACGGCAGTGAGGAGCAGCGACATGGTCCTTAGCTGATACGCCTCCTCCTCCATCGTCGGGGTGCTCATCACCGTACAGCTCGACGTGGCCGGCCTCCGCTCCGGGGCACCGGGGATGAACTCCATGGCCCACCGCACAGGCCTCCGACCAGCAGCGAGCGACATAAGCTGCGTAGCGGGCTCCGGCAGAAGGGACGGTGACACAGACTGACCGGCTGCAGAGGAGTTGGAAATGAGGGGCAGTGTTGGAGGAGACGAACTGCGTTGCGGTGCGGCGGAGGCGGGACGAGCAGGTGCTGGAGCTTTGGCTTTGGCTTTTGCAAGACGAACTGGACATGAGCGCTCAAGATGCCCAGTCTTTCTGCAAGTGTAGCAAATTGCGGGGTCGCAGCATTCAAAAGCTTTGTGGCGAGAGGCGAGACAGCGGAAGCAGCAATTGCCAAAACGCATCTTGAATGCTTGCACAGCGGCAGCCCGAGCACACTCCCTGAGACGGAGCGAATCCTTTGGACTTTGCCGCGGAGGATCTGCCTGGCGCTTCGCCAGGCGCCGAGCACGCCGAGAGCACGCCGTCTCCCACCCATCCTCCCCCTCGGGATTAATGGCGCTCACAGCACCCACAACGGGAGAGGGGCACTCCTGGCGGGAAGCAGGCATGCGCGCCTGCCCGGAGCCAGCGGCCGGCACAGAGGAGATCGCCGACGCAGAGAGAATCCCCGCATTCGGAGCCACAATAATAGATCTGATGGGGGGATGGCGGGGCGCAGCCAGCACAGCCCAGGACGGGGCGGGGGAGGAGCCTGCTGTCTCCGGATGCGAAGGTAGAGGGCCGGAACGGGAGGATGGAGCCAAGACTGAGCTTACCAAGGGGGGCGCACCGCGCACCGCCGCATTTAACGCCACACAAGGGAAGATGCGGCCGGAGATTCGGTCCACATACTCCGGGGCCGGGTCAACAGCGGAGTCCCTGAGCGCCACGCAAGGCAGGACGCGGCCGGACACCGCATCCACGAACGCCGGGCGAGCGGCGGCCAGGCCCGCGACGATGGGTGGCGGGGAGCGGGCGCTCGAGAGGAGAGCCATTGCCTCCTACATTTCGTGGTGGGCTGAGAGAATAAGAGCATTCCAGTGCTGGCCGGAAAACAGTGGTAACCACTGATGGGCTAAAAAGGCCATGGTGGGTCAGATCTTAAAGGCATCTGGTGGTACTCGTACTACTATATAGTCGCCCCCGAAAGCTTCCAAGGGTTCCTCCTCCGCCGCCAGAGCATCCCAGGCCTGGGGTTTCCGGTGGCAAATATGGAGGGAGACAGCAGCGAGATCTCGGCGCCGCCGCCGGCGAACGAGCACGGCGTCCCCGACGAGCTACTCGAACTAGTATTCCTGAGCCTCCCCTCCTCACTCCACCTCGTCCGTGCCGCATGTACGTGCAAGCGCTGGCGCCGCATCATCGCTGAGGGCGCCTTCGGCCTTCCTCGGCCGCTTCCGATCTCTCCGCGCCTCCCCTGTCGTCGCCGGACACTACCGCGTCGATGAGCGTACGCATGGGTCGTGTCCGCCTGGATGCAACCCCGTCTTCTCCCTCTCGCCGTCGGCAGACACCGTCGACATGCTCCCTCGGCACTTCTCGCTCGACTTTCTCCCGGACTGCGACGGCGGCTCCTGGGACATCGCCGACAGTCGAGGCGGCCTCATCCTCCTAAGTCAGTGCACGCACGCCGAGGACGAGGAGGAGCCGTATCTCTTCCACGACCTCCTCGTCTGCGAGCCCTTGACGCGGCGCAGCAGGGTGGTCCCATGCCCGGACCGGCTCGAGGGCTGCCTCTGCTGCGGCGCCTTCCTGCTCGACGGCGACGGCGACGAGACTGGTGAGCGCATCAGCCTGTCAAATTTCAGAATAATGGTGGCACTCCGGTTGGATGGCATTGCCAGGGCGTGTTCATTCTCCTCCGGCAGCGAGGGTTTCTGGACCATGGCGCGGATCACGGCAGACAGCCACGTGAGGCCCGAGAGCAGCTTATACTTCGCTCGAAATTTCGCCCGCTATGTCTACTGGAGGACCGTAGAAGCCGAAATCATTGTCCTTGACAAAGACACGAAGGAATTCTCTCGTTCCTTGTTCCCGGAAGACATGTGGTACTTCAGGCTCGAGGTTGTAGGCTGCGCCGGTGGCAAGGTGCGCATTGCCCACCGGGGCGTCAGCCAGCTCAAGGTCTTCATACAAGCAGAGGGCAGGGATGAATGGGTGCTGGAGAAAAGGGTCCAACTGCAGCAGTTGATCCGTGAGGTTGAAGGTGACGATGAGTTGAGCGTCGACATGCTGAAGAAGATGGCCTCGGTGGCGGAGGGGTCTGTTGTGTTGTGTACAGACAAAGGCGTGGGGCTCATCTCCATCGACCTCGACACCATGGAGTGTAAGCGCTTTCACGACGAGAACAAGTACTACGGGCCAGAGTACATGTACCAGCTGCCATGGCCTCCCACGATCCAAGCTTGCTTACCATGAACCAGCAGTCTTGCGATCTGTTTATTTTGTTCTCAAGTATGAACTGTATTAAGTGATCAACGATCAATCTTGAGCTGTTTTGCATTTCGTTCCATGAATTTAAATGTTTTATTTTCTCTGATTGTAGGAAACGTTCAAGTATTTCAGTTCCTTGGAATTGACAAAACATTATCATTGTTGCATTCTCCTTGTGTAGGGGAAATATCTTGATTGATGGAAGCGTGCGGTTTTTCAGAAGCTGTCCACTGATTGCTGTTGAGATTTCTTCTGTGCGTCGTGTTAGCCAGTCGATTTTAGTGTGAGAGCTATGATACCTTCACACAAAGTTTCTTGGCTTGGGTTAGAGCCCGCCACTTCTTGCAAGACCAACTTTATAATCCATATGATGAAAATTTAGTTGCCGGTAATTCCTAGAAAGTCCAGGAGTTTTGGTTTTTTTTTTTTTCAAATGGTGGCAAGAGTTCTACCCATTCTACTATTATATTAGAACTAGAAAGAATACCAGAGTTTGCTCTTAGCTACTCCCTCCGTTCTGAATTACTTGTCTTAGATTTGTCTAGATACGGGGTTATCTAGCACTAAAATGAGTCTAGATACATCTGTATCTAGACAAATCCAAGACAAGTAATTCGGAACAGAGGGAGTACAAGCCTACAACCTGATGATTTAGACAATGCCTCAACACCAAACACACCCCAGTAAAATGCACAAGATCACCACTTTAGCTTCATAGCTCTTGGAAAACTACCACTTTACAAAATATGACATTTCGCACAGAACACTGACAGTGGATGCTAAGCGTTTTGATGACGTCACTAATCAGCCGGGCTCAAGGTGGATTAGGAGTGCCAGATATCACCGCTCATAACAAAGCTTTGCTCATGAAGTTCATGCACAAGTTTCTCAACAAGTATAATTCTCCATGAGTCAACATCATCTGGAAAACCCACTATTCACACTCTCTTCCTAGTGATGGGATGGTTGAATCCTTTTGGTGGAAAGCTGTTCCGAGAAGACTTCTATCCATCTTTAAACAATTTTCAGTATGTAAACCTGGTGCTGGCAACACCATTTATTTTTGGACTGATGGTTGGTGGCTTCCGTGAGCTATACTCATTTGCCATCAACAGGGACAGATCCTTGCGATAGGCCCTAAACACTCTCCAAACTGAAGACTTGTTCCACAAACCACTCTCTCCGCAAGCATTCCAACAGTTCCAGACTTTGCAAGAACACCTACACCAAAGACCTCAGAATAGCTTCCAACAGTTCCACAAACCACTCTCTATGGGACATGACTATTGGTCTTTACAAGGAAATGCTCAATCTTACTCTTCTATGAGAATGTACTAGTACATTATGTGAGATAACACTGCTCACAACATCTTTAAGGACATTTGAGCCACATCATGCAGACCCAAACATAAAATCTTCTTTTGGCTCTTGCTGCATGATAAGAATAATACCAGGAACATGCTCCAACGCATGACTTTGCACCTTGACAGTTATAGTTATGTTCTCTGGTCTGATAAGACTGATGAAACATCTATTCATCTTTTCTGGAACTGTCCATTTTCCCTCTATTGCTGGGATGGAGCTTCAGTGTCGTAACTGCACCTGCAGTTGGGTCACTGACATGTGGGCCTAACAGATAGCTGGCCCACATGTCAATGACCCAACTGCAGGTGCAATTACGGCAATGAAGCAGCGTCCCTATTGCTGGGATCATATCGTTCCAAACAGAAAGAGGGGTATATCGGTTTATGGGATGCTGGGGTATTTTGTGTGTCGGAAATGATAAGATCTTTAAAGTTGTTTAGACTGTAGTACATATTGAGGGTTGGAAGTATTACCTCAAAGAAGGACTTTGGGTCTGTCAGATCAGAGCTAAACAGAAGAAGACAGAGCAGATCTGTCTTTGGATAGAACAGAACTTGTAATTTTATTTTGATGATGTTTCCTGAAGCTGGTATTGGTTGATTTGTTTCCTTTGCCTTTGTATTTGTAAATATTTATTTTAACGGTCGGTCATAGATTCACAGGGTCAAAAAAAAAAAACACTTCGCCTCCACTATGCCTGAATTTTGTCCCTGCCCATGACTCAGGCAATACAGTTGCTTCCGCGTAAATTTTTTTTACTAGTGTTTTTTGACCTTTTTGAAAATAATATTTTTTTGACCTTTTTTACAAGTGTTAGTAAGGTTGAGAGAGAGGGGGAGAGGGGCGCTGTTATATTTCACGCTCGCGTCCCATTTTCCTACAGAAAGTGACGTCAACCTAGAAGAATCCAGTAATGCGTACGTTCTTGCAGTTGCGGCAGTACACGATCTCCGGCGTTCGTGGCCTATCAACTTTGAGGGCAAACAATGGAATAGTCCAAGTATGCATGCTCCTCCTGGAACCATATGCGTACGTTACATACGTGAGCCACTCACGGCCTCATCGCTTCTCCTTCTGGATAGGAGCGTAGAATTAACCATGAAAGTTGAATGGGCTAGCTATCGCTGTTCGTAACAAAGATCCAAATGACAGGCTCGATCGAGTTGCCTCATGCATGTCTTGTTCGTGGAATTCTTTGCCACTGTTAGAAAATTCCTTGCCATGGTGCTAGACTTTCCAGGCAAACTGCAGAAATTTCCCGTACAAATCCACTATAAAAACCCCCTCTATACTCAAGCTATACGTACAAAAGCAAGGCAAAGCCAGCTAGCCACGGCCTACACATACGCAGCTAGCTATAGTGCAGGCACATACATAGTAGAAACCATTTGGACAGCGAGCCAGGGAGTAATGGAGACGCCCAAGCTGGCCGTTTTGCTCGCCCTAGCCATGGCGGCCGCCATGGTTAACCTTTCCCAAGCCCAGAACTCGCCTCAGGACTACCTCTCGCCTCACAACGCCGCCCGCGCCGCCGTCGGCGTGGGCGCGGTGAGCTGGAGCACGAAGCTGCAGGGGTTCGCCCAGAGCTACGCCAACCAGAGGATCAACGACTGCAAGCTCCAGCACTCGGGCGGGCCCTACGGGGAGAACATCTTCTGGGGGTCGGCCGGCGCGGACTGGAAGGCGGCGGACGCGGTGAAGCTGTGGGTGGACGAGAAGAAGGACTACGACTACGGGTCCAACACCTGCGCGGGCGGGAAGGTGTGTGGGCACTACACGCAGGTGGTGTGGCGCGCGTCGACCAGCATCGGCTGCGCTCGCGTCGTCTGCAACAACAACCGCGGCGTCTTCATCACCTGCAACTACGAGCCCGCCGGGAATGTCATTGGACAGAAACCATACTAACTGTGATTGCTCCGCAGTACATATATATATATATATAGTCCAGTAGTCCCTCGTTCCTTGCATGGCAACACCCATGCAAGGATTCATGCACGTTCCTATCTATAACTAGCTAGAGGGGCTGGGCGAGTAAATAAAAGGAATGCCGTAATAAGCTATGTATTCTCCATCATGGACTATAATAAATAATGAGCCTTTTTACGGTACCTTGAAACATATATGAACCTTTCACTACAGTTAGTTCAATCTCTAGCTGATACTCCTATTGAGTTATTGACTGGTACTCTACAAGACTACAACACAAGTAAATAGGAGTATATATCACCTGAAAAATCCAAGCAGAGTAGCATGTGTTTAGGGGTAAATAAAAAGGTTACCTTCATATATTGAAAATGAAATATTACACATAATTTATAATGTGCTTTGGTAAAAAATAATCTTTATTTTCATTTAAGTCCATTGATCAAAAGAATGTTTTAATTCTCTACCCCCAAAAAGGAAAAATTTAATCTCATGTTTTATAAAATCTTGAAAACCTAATCTCTAATCGAGCGGGGATTCTCCTTCGAACTCGATCGATCATGAACTTGTCGTTTGGTGAAGGGCTATTGATTAGGGATAAGGCAAAAATACCACAGTACAAATATAGAAGGACTAAATTGCCCTCATAGATGAATGGTTAGATTTCATTGGTAATTTTGCCCATCTTTGAGGATTACCAAGTACCGCAAAATTGCTCATAATAAAATCTTGAAGTTCACTATGTGCCTATCAATGCAAGACGCGGAAAGAACCACATCCACCAGCTCAAATAGAAACAACGAGTGGATTACATATCACAAGACCAACAAGGAAATCATTCACGTTCACTTTGAGAGTGCCTTGGGTCCACCTATGCCTGGGGACATTAACCGGGAGAATCTTAATTTCAAAGTGGTCGACTTCAATGGCATTGATGACAACATCACCAAGGAGGAGGTCAAGGCCACCATTGACGGCAATGCTTGGGACAAGGCGCCGGGACTAGACGGCTTCACCGGGAACTTCTTTAAGAAATGTTGACACATAATTAGTGACGACGATATGAGAGTGATCCACTAGTTCAGTAGTCTCCAAACATCAAACTTCAATTGGCTCAGCTCGGCAAATATCGTCTTGCTTCCAAAGAAGGAGGGGTGAAGGAGGACGGAGAATATGGCCAAATTATCCTCATTTATGTCATCTCATGATTGGACTTAGTTTTCCTGTAAGAAGAGGAGAGAAGCGACATAGGAAGCCGTCGGTATCGTTGATGAGAAGGTGTGGGATCGCCATGAAGCGGAGGAGGCCGCATAGGAGGATTCCACCCTCCTCAATGAGTGACATGATTCTAATGCCAAAACACATCCCGTTGTCTAGGATTGGGATGCTAAGCATGGTTACAACCAGATCTCATATGAATAGGAGAAACCTCGCCCACTCGGCTCATGTTGGCCATCACTTGCTCCATGTCGCCTCATTGTTAAGGAGACATGAGATGAGCGCTATGCTGCTTACGTGTCAGCCATCCGCCCCGATGAAATATTCGAGTAGGTCGCCACTAGGAAGAGGTTGGCGCTCGAGAGGAATGGTGTCTTTAAAACCTATCTAGGTGTTCTTTGTTGTCTATGCCCTCTATAGTTTAAGGTGTTTGTTCTTTTATGCAATGCTCGCTCACCCAAAGTATGTACGATCTTTACCATAGTACATTAGCTAGCTATAGGAGATGACATCTTTGTGCTTTTCTTCTTCCTGAACACGCATATGGATGTTTGTGCATTGGAACGGCATGTCTTTCGGATCAACTGTTCCCTGCTCTGACTTCGCCTTTTAATTTGACTGAATATCTACTTACGCTCTCCAAGATTGTTCCTGTGAGTTTCTTTAAAACCTATTTGTGCACCCAGCTAGATCATACAGTTGTTAATGTATGGAGTTTTTTATTGGGTCTGTTTATCTCAGGGCTCTGACGCACCGATTTCGTTTAGACAATTTTTAGAGCCAGTATTTACTCCAGGGAATACTCTTTATATTGTTCAATCTCGGTGTAGGTCTAATTTCTCGGAAACAGTTTCAGTCAATGCTGGGCCGAAACCTCTTAAACTCATTAAGTAGCGTTCTTGGAGAGTTGAAATCTCATTTCATTGATGATGTATTGCGCTGCGTGTTGGTTAAGATGAAGCAAGGAGAAAACCATTGACGATGTATTGTAATGCATGTTTCAGTCAACTTGTTGGACAACTGTACACGTATGTGTTTTTTCAAGCACACTGATTTCAGCCTCTTCGTCTCCTTCAAGCCGGTGAGTAATTAATTGGTTAACTGAACATACTATTTGAGAAGGGACAAGGGAAGAAACCTCAACTATTCCCTTAGTTCATGTTGTCTCTACAATTTACAATTGTATATATAGTGCTACCTGAATTAAATTCTGGCAACTAAGCTCATGCAGTGCTTAAGATTAAATGGGATATAATGGAAATGCAGATGAGAAGTTCAGGGATATTCCTGGGAGTGCCTATTATGTGGCTCCGGAGGTGCTGAAGCGGATATATGGAGCCGATAATTGCATATGGAGTGCTGGAGTTATACTCTACATTCTGCTGTCTGGCATTCCTCCTTTTGGGCAGCAGGGCAGGTGCGTTCTCTGGCTGGTTATGTCAATCAATTTTGGGGCTGTGATGGATGCAAAGACTGGAAGGTGAATATAGTTATCCTACAGGAACCCTCCCTTGATTTTAATTACCTGAGAATGAGTAAGGTCTATTTGATGTTGTTCTTCAAGGTTCTATTCATTTCTCATTTGATCCCTGGCCATCAATTTCTAACGGGGATAAAGAATTACTCCCTCCATTCCTAAATATAAGACCTTTTAAATATTTTAATATGGACCACATGCGAAGCAAAATGAGTGAATCTACACAATAAAAATGTCTATATACATCCATATATAGTCCCTATTGAATTATCTAAAATAGCTTATATTTAGAAACGGAGGGAGTACAACAAACGGGAGAATCAGACATAACTCTGTTATGTGAGTAGAGAACGTGAGTGCATATGCTTATTGGGGTCGGTCAACATGGTTCAGTTGGCATAACAAGCTCCAACGGACACAACTTTTCATGAATTGAATTGATTGAATGCCCTTAGTAAGTTCTCGATAGAATTACCTCTTCTTACAAGGATGAGAAACTTAAGTGTTTTTCATTTATTTTGTGCAGATCCTCCTGTGAAGCATAAATTTCATTGTATCCAAGGAGATATCAAATGCTGAAAACATGGGACTCAAAATGTATAGAGAGTCGGAGACACTGCTAAACTGTCATTTATGGGTGTCTACCAAATTCACTATCAACCACTGTTGTAGGACCGGCGGTATGTTAAAATTTATTTTGGTTTTATTAGTCCATGTAGAGATGCTATGCTCAGCTATTGATTTGACACTTGTGATATCCAATTACACTCCGGTGGCTTGTATGTTGCTCGAAGATGCTCACAAGTCTGGTTGGGAACGTTAACCTTATTCTTAGGGACCATTATTTGAAACAGTACTCTGTCTACTACTCCCTCCCATGATATAGCTTAAAAAATGTTCTTATATTATGGGACGGCGGGAGTATATGCTAAGTTGTGTACTGATGTATAGTTATCTGATTTTGTTCATTTTACATTAGGTTGGGAGGACATAGACTAAGAGCTATATATGATGATTCTACAAAAGATAATGTACTGGAAGACATGAGAAATTTTAGGATGCTACAGTGTAAAAATATTTGGAATATGGTATGGTTTGCCGGACCGGAACCAAAGCAAGAACGAGAAGGAGCTTAAGTAGGGCCATGTCGGGGTGTCGCCACAATAGGAAATTGTCGCTGGTGCTAGATACCAGGGGAACCAAAAAATCTTTTTTCTACAAAGGTAACGAACTTTTTGGGTCTAGAGGGACCAAGATGAGCAGGCCATCAACATCCTATTCCTGCTTATCTTTGTTTTCTTTGTATCTGTATTATTAATCTTGGTTTCAACTGGCGTGTTGAGTGCAATCTTTCGGGTGCAATCCTCAAATATGGGATGTCGTACTAGCCTTAATTCAACATCTGGAATGGCTTATGATGGCATGGAGTTCCATCATTTCAGCTGCTTGCGGCGGGTAGTGTGGCCGGTGCTTGCGGCAGCAGCGAAGCGGCGTGCGCGAGCGCAGTGTAGGCAGTGGCCAAAGGCTCATCGGCCGCTGCGAGTACGCCGTTGGCACCAGGTTCATGACATTGTAAAAAAATCTTGATTCAATATTCTTTGGTCATTATTCCTCTTTCATGTTCTTGATCCTTGAAGATAGTTGCTAGATTTCTAGCTGATATTTTTTGATAGTATAAGCTCGATGTATATGGCCTAAATATGACCTGATTCAGAGTACATTGTGTTCTGAAGCTTTTTACTGTATGGTTCTCTCTTGAAAGAATTCAAGCCATTGTTCAATGGGAGAGAACAGTTGTAATCCTGAAATAAATGTCATACCTATTCAACAGCTGACACAATTGCCACTGAGATCATTATTTTCCTTTTTTTCAGGTTTTCAACATCACAAATTTCATACTAATGAAGTGGAGCTACCAAAATATCTATTGAGGTAAAATCACTATATACATATTGTTCTCCCCCATTGCGTCAGGCGACACGCATCTGTTGCAAAGAAATAGACATCACCTGCGTGCTTGCTTTTGTTCGTTTCTAGCCGGCAAGAATCCATCGAGTCTTCCTCTATGTGTGCAACCTTGCCAGCATGGGAATCAATCAAGGTAGGGGCAGCCAACGTTAAGTATGTGCAGTCTTGCCGGGATCCAATCTATTGACTCCTTCAGCCAGCTTTGCACTATGTGCACGATGGTCATGCTCGAAAGCACTTTGCAAGTGGACCATGCACGGCTCCACCGGCCTTGCGTCAATAATTCAAATCCTTATCTTATACTTCCTCTGTCTGAAAA